TTTTTTTTTTTTTTTTTTTGTGATTGTAAATTGGATTAATGAGGGTCAGCTAAGTTAGATTGTTAACTTATTCAATACATTTTGGATAGGAAAGCAAAAGTATTTGAATTGAATTAGAATGGAGTCCGAAAAATTGTGGAACGGAATTATATTTTTAAAAACTTTTTAATATTAAATGTAAACTCATATTTGTGGCATGTACATTTATATTAAATTTTTTCTTAATATTGAATTCTGATCCGTTTTAAATTTATTCTACTTTATATAAAGGCTTGATCTCAAATATATTTTAAAATTATTTCTTTATAGTGTTCATAATATTCTGGATAATAAATAACATATTGCCTATAAGCATATTAAAAGAAGAATTTTTTTGCAAATTTTGCATCTTCGCCTAATTTTGTTTATATAATTTTTGTTTACATGCTTAATCTATTTAAAGCATTTAAGTTAATATCTCAAGTTAAAATATCTGTCTGTTTTTAAATGTCTCTTGCTATTCTTATTCTCTTATAATTTATATTCTTCTCTGAAAATTTAATTTTTAAATAAATAATAAACCATTTTTAAAATGTTTTCCATATTGTCTAGTCCCGCACACATCAATGTCTAATAGCTGAGTCAGCTATAATACGCAGCAGGATTAACTAGAAAGCATATTAATATGATTTCAAATAAACGTTTTCCATACACGAAACTGCTCAAAATAAATGTACTATAAATCTCTTTTCATATGTATGTAAATTATAGATACATATATATATATCTATGGCACCCACAAATAACCTATAATATTTGGCAAGTTTTGCAGCCCACACAGATAATTCCAGCGCGTCGTTTATGGTCTTAGATCATTTCATTGGGGCGCACTTTAATGGTTGTACGACAAGGCCTTTGGCTTTTGACATGCTGCAGCGGCATGATGAGCGATCACACACGCATATCTCCCAACCCTTGTATCTCAAATCCAATCTAATACCATCTTTGTAGTTGTTGCTGCTGATGCTTTATATTGTAAACATAAATTGCGCAATTTATCATAAAAACGTTTCCCATTCACTGTGCGCAACGTTTAAAGCAACTTAATTATGGTTGGCCATAAAAATAGAAGCGGCGAGCGGATAGCTAAGAAAAATGTCTTGGCCAACGTTTGGTATCGCATAACTTGGCTAATTGCCACACGCTGCTGACATATTTGCCTAATGGCCTCGTATAGTTTTTAGCTGGAGCACAGAATCGGTAACAGCTTTAAGTTCTGGCCATAAAGCAGCGCCAACAACAAGCAAATAAACTTGCCCAGCACAACTACAACAACAACAACAACAGCAATGAAGAAAAATGAGTTCAATAAAAGTTCTACATGGTTAAAAAGTTTTTGCACTTGGCCAGGGCAAAACTGTCAGCCTGGCCTAATGACTTTTAACCGAGTTGCAAAATGCACTAAGACCAAATTAGAGAGCAGAACAACGTGAACGAAGAAACAAAAAGAAACGTTCAATAGTTGCCAGAGAAAGGTAGATAGTGTARAGCGAGATAGGTAGATAGATAGAGGGCGCCAGCCACTTAATTGTTGTATTGTTGTTGGACCAAAAGTTTTGCATAAAGACGTGCTAAAAATAATTGAGTAGCAATTTATTTTATGGCGTCTGCCATTAAATTTAAGTGCATTAGTTTCGAATGGCAACTGCGATGCAATCTTAAATGGCAACTACAGCTCGGCTGATGTCATAGACATTCTAAGCTTTTTCGACAGCTTAAAGAAACCAAAGAAAGAGGAAGAAAACACAAAGAGAATTTCAGCAACTCCAAATTGAATATGAAAATAATCTGATTTTTTTACTATATGGAATGGTTGCATTAAAGCTTAACAAAAGCCCCAAAACGCTTGGTCTTAAACCATTTTTGAAATAAATAAAAATACATGTAATTAATTTGTTAATTAATTAATTTTCAATTGTTTTTTTTTCAATTTTTCATTCAAATAATTTAAAAATATATATTTTTATAGCCTATATTTATATATTTATTTATTATTCATAATTTATTTACTTTTCATTATTTATTTATTTTTGTTTTTATCTTACTTCAAAATATAGTTTTCTCCTTTAATAATTGTTAAGAATAGTTTTTTTAAGTAAAAAAAAAAATTCGAGGGTCTCCAATTGTTTTATGTTTTTTATTCAATTTTTTATTACAATCTGTACATTTTTTTGCATTTTTGATGTATTTTTAAATTTGTATATTAACGTTTTAAGCTCTACTAATCTACTTTTAAATATTATTGAACATTTTCTAGCTTATAAATTCTTCTTTAATCTTTATCCTCCCTAGTAATTTCATTTGAAATTTAAAACTATTTTGAATCCCCCTTACCCTTTGCGATCACGCAACTGCTTTAATTCTTTTGGATGTTCATGTCTCCATTCATCACAATCTTGAGAAACGTGCACGTCTTTAGTTGAGTTGCAGTCCAATTCCCAGACCCCTGCTGCGTGGCCCAGAGAGTCAGTCAGTCAGTCCAGCGATCATTGCCTAACCTTTGACTTTTATTCCTATTGTATTGCAGTGTAACAATGATGTAGTAGATCGTGGACTTATTATTGTTTTGTTGAATCATTTCAGGTCAAGCTGGTCGACGTGGAGAAGGTGGAATGGCTCAATAGACGCTCGTATAGCGCCATTGGGCTGCTGCTGGGACGCGAGGGTCGGGTGCTCTTGCGCTGCGACGATGGCCTCGAGGATTGGTTTGAGCTGCTGGAAGTAAGTCTTTGCATGAATTAGCCCAAAGTGGATTTATACTAAATAGAATTGAATGTTTCCCCAAACACAGGAATGCACGCTGACCTCCAAAGAGCGTCGTCGCGCGCTGAAGATCGCCCAGGGTCCCAGATCGCGCGCCTCTCTGGCCGCACCCGTCTCGCATGCCTCGCTGCAGTTCCAGCACTTTGGCCTGGGCAGCACCTATTCCAGCGCCCTGGACGATTGGCTGATGACGAATGGCTCGGCGAGCGGCGGCGGCGGCGGCCTGGCRCGTCATAAAATCGGCGCTGGTAGCCTAAATGGCTATGCGGGTGCCAATCCATTTCTGTTCAGCGATTCTGTGCCCGATCTGAGTGCCCTCAACAATGAGAATCATAATCATCATTTGAGCGGCATCTCAACGAATCACTCCACACCGCAAAAAATTCCGCATCACAGCAATGCAAATCTCAGTCGTTACTCGAATGGCTATGCCTCGGCGCAGAACAGCTTCACCCAGGCTGGTGGCGTCTTGTATGGCTCGCCTCGACGGATTTTCATCAACAGCAGCTTCGGTTCCAATCAGGTGGTCGACGAGGAGACCGCCGAGGAGGCTGAGGTGCAGTTGCGTCGCCCCAGACTTTTCCGCGGCATCAGCGCCCAACCGGACAATGGCAATGAACTGGACAGAGATTGGCTCTATCGCAAACCTCGTGCGCCCACCGATATGCGCCATTCAGGTGAGCTCAACAAATTTTCACCGTGTATAACTAAGACTTAAACTATCTCTCTCTCTCTCTCTCTCTCTCCGTTCTAGTTCAACCCATGCTGCCCACTCACAATGCGAATGGCGGCAGCACTGCTGGCCTGGCCAACAACAAACAGGAGCTGGACTGCTCGGCCCATGATAGTGGCCTGGACACGCCTCCATCTACACACCGCCCCTCCAGCTATCGCGAGGCCGCAAGTCGCGACAGCACCGAAACGAATGGCAGTTCATCACGTGGCACGCTGCTCAACAATTCGCCCGGCGGCAGCTTCCGCGCCAAGAAGCTGAGCGCCCAGGTGAACAATCTGAATCAGTTGAACGCGTTGCACGGCTCGCGCTACTCAGTGCAGGATCAGCGCATACTGAAGATGCGCAACAATGAGGAGGAGCGCTGTGCATCCATTAAGTTGGCCAATCGTCTCAATCATAATCACGAGCAGAACACCAATACCAACACCAACGGCACCTATGACCCCAATCAGAATCGCTACTATAAGAATGGCAATGCCACGCCCCCCATTTCACTAACGCCCCAGCATACGCCACAGCACAAGATCATGCACCATCACAGCAATGGCAATGGCAACGGCAACAGCGGCACGCTCAACGGCAACGCCGGCTCCGCCATGAACGGATCGGCCATATTCCGGGAGCGTTATCAGCATCCAGCTCTGGCGGCCATCATCAACGAGGCCCAGGGCCTCAAGTTTCGAGGTAAATATTTATCCATACAAATGCACTTTTAAATTGGGGGGAATGATTTTTCTAATTTTGTAAATAATATTTTTTTTTTTAAGAAGTGTATTTTGAGCAACAATAATATAATATATTTGAATGAATAGAGAATGTGTAGAGGAATGTGTATTATTTGCCATATAAAATATTATATGTGTATGTATATAACTTGAACTTAGAAAAAGTTTATCAACCAAATAAAAAATAAAGGCCAGATTTATTTATAGCAAAACTAACTTTTGGAATTAGCTTTAAATTTGAATGACCAATAGCGAATAGAATAGAATAGGCTTCTACTCATTTTATGCATATATATATAAATGATGATTTTTTTTAATAGTAACTTTATTTAAATATTAGATTACAATACAATATAAAACATAAAAAAGAAATTACTATTACAAAAAATTTTCTGTAAGTCTTGTTTTATTGTTATAGTATTACTATATGCCATCTTTATAATAAATAAATATATATATATATTTATTT